CACATATTGTAATACTTTATGTAGATAAGACATGTTGTGATTGTAATATGTAGATGAGACATGCAGTGTTTTTGATATTCTAAAGTTTCAAACTTTCTTTCTTTGGATGAGCATGCAGTAATTGTAATACTTTTTTAAGTCATTGACTGTAATACTTTTTTTTTTTTTTTTTTTAGAAAGTGTACAAGTTGAACTATGTTGAAAATTTATAAAATTTCAAACCGCCAAACCGATTCGCATTCATCTGCCAAACCGCCAATCCGCTCAATCCACATCCGCCGGATTGGCGGACGGATGTGGATTGATTTTCTCCAATCCGCCAATCTGGCGGACGGATGACGGATTGGAGGTTCTATGGCCGCAATCGACCCCCGCCCACCCCTAAGCTTCTGCACCGAGGGTGGAGCAAAGAGTCGAACACTAAACATTGTTTAATGGTCGTTTGTTCGGATGATGAAAAAATACTATAACAGTCACGGTCGACGCATGACAACCACGGTTGAGCCGTGGTCGACACCATAATAGTCGTGATTTACAAACTCTGCCTGATCGTTCGAGCAAAAGAATCACATATTGTAATACTTTATGTGGATAAGGCATGCTGTGATTGTAATATGTGGATGAGACATGCAGTGATTTTGATATTCTAAAGTTTCAAATTTTCTTTCTTTGGATGAGCATGCAGTAATTGTAATACTTTTTTAAGTCATTGACTGTAATACTTTTTTTTTTTTTTTGGGGAAGTTTTTTTGAGGAAGTGTACAAGTTGAACTATGTTGAAAATTTATAAAATTTCAAACCGCCAAACCGATTTACATCCATCTGCCAAACCGCCAATCCGCTCAATCCACATCCGCCGGATTGGCGGACGGATGCGGATTTATTTTCTCCAATCCGCCAATCTGGTGGACGGATGACGGATTGGAGGTTCCATGGCCGCAACCGACCCGCACCCACCCCTTAACGGTTAGGATGTGTTTGTAAAAAAATATATTTTTTAAATTAGTAGTAGCAAAGCAAGTTACACATAAGCTAAAGAATGTTGATAAACTATATTATAATTTATAATGTAAAATATTAACCTTTAAAAATTAGATATTATAAATTCACTATGTTTTTTTTTATCAAAGAACTAAACAAAATATTAGAAAATATTCTTCTATTTATCCTTACAATTATATTATATTTTATTGGTATGCGATAAATGACACTTCTAATTTCGTAAAATAAGTAATACGTAACATAAAATATTCGATACTTCAAAATTAAGTATTCGATACACCAAATAATGAAAAATTAATTAAAAAGTATCTAATATTTTGAATAAGTATCTAATACATATCCGCGAATATCCAAAGAATATTGATATTCAATACAAATACGTGACCCTTTTTGAAATATCCGTGCTTCATAAGGATTCATACTCCAAAAAGAGAGTGAGAAAAAGAAATGGGGGAGATTATTTGGTTTGGCTGAGAAATAAATGTCAGTTTGTATTAAAATATTGTGGTAGGATAAAAATGATTTATGGCATTATCACCACTCTTTTTATTGGCATTGTCTAGGGGTGGAAATTTGGTACATAAATCGTTAACATAATTCGAATCGTATATGTAATTAGAAAGTTAGGATTAATAATTTTTTGACTTGAATCCGAATATGACATGACCCGAAAATACGAATATTAAATGAACCGTAATTGGGTTGAACAAGTAAAACTTGAAATGGACACGTCTGACCTGCGTAAAAATTCGTGTCGACACATTAACACAAATCCACTATTGACTCGCTTGTAACCCGAATACAACCATAAGATCTTATATAAGTAATTCATTCTCATCCATTAAATTAAAATTTAAATCTCTATATATATATATATACCTAATAAAGTGTAACTCTAAATTAATGATAAATCAACTGTCGGTTGTGATTTGATAAATTGTTTCCCTCTCTCAAAATCTAGAAGAACTCTTCAATCAAGCAAAAGCCATAATTTTTGTTTTTTTTTTTATTCTTCTTAGTATACAAGTTACAACTTGCAATGGTGAATTAACATAATTGACAATTATAATATATTTTGTTAGTTTATTAATATTTTTTTGTGTTACAATTTTTATTCATGGTGTTTGATTTAGTTAATTTATTAATTTTTTTGTGTTATAGTTATTAGTTTGGTATTGGATGAAAACTTATTTTGCTTTTAAAATTATATTGGATATTTAAATATTAATGAGTGACAATAATTTAGATTGGATATGTAATGGACTAGTGTTGAATATTTTTAATTATTTTCATAGATATTGGCATGCATATATATTATCATTGTGTGTCAATGTTTAAACAAATTATTCTATGCATGTGATCTGAAACAAATTATTATTATTAATTTTTTAAATAGACGGTTCAATTTGCTTATAATTAATCTGAAATATGAACTTTTACTAATCGTATTAAACATGTCGGTTTAAGATTAACACGATTATAAGTAAGTCAGGTCAGTGTTAAGATAATTGACACGTTTAATTAAATAAGTCGTATTAGTGTTGACTTATTTTAAATATGAACTCGATATAACACGACACAAAACCGACGCCACACGGGCCAATTTCTACCCCTAACACTATCTAATGATTTCTTTCAAGTTTCAAGCTTGCTTTGTTGCGTGCAATGTTTTTGTTTTCTATTAAAAAAATAAAAAACTGAAAGAACAAAAATTCATTGGTTAAGGTAGTGTTGGTATCATTGTCAATACAGAAAATAAATTTAAAAAAAAAAATTGTTCTGAAAAAAATAATAAAAAATAATGTGTGATACATATTTTTAAAATAAAAAAATAATAATAAGAAAACATATTTAATGAGTTATTGAATGCTGGGCGTTGTAGGAAGGGAGGAGGCCAACAATTTTTTTCAAAACAAAAAAAACTTCTTTTTTCTTTCCACAAATTTTAAAAATTATTTCAATTTTTAGAAACAAAAACGAATACAAAATGTACTTTATTTCTCAAAACAGAAAATGAAAACACAACTAGACAAGAATTTTTTCATAGCCAAAAACAATAGCAACAATATGTGGCCAATTTTTGGGCTTTACTTGTGATTTTCTTTTGGTCCCCCGATTATTGCAGGGTTTGTTATATTTTGTTTGGCTCCCCCCCTATTTGAGGGGGGGGTGTTAGATTTATTGTATTGCCTGGGGTATGCAATGCGTATATTTTTTGTCGTTAATTTATAATTTATCCACCCAAAAATATATATATATATATATATTCAAAATTTTGAGGGGGAAAAAATTGGTTTTTGTTTTGGTTGGCACCTCACCAACTTTGATGCGGTGTTAGTAGATGATTGAGCTTGTTTTTCCGTATAAATCTAATTGGAATTGATTAGTTTTGTTTTGATACATTGTAGAGTCTCTTTGTTTTATTGATGCTTATGTTAGTATTTTATGTACATTAGTTTTCATAATTAATGTTTCTCTTTTTCACCGATAAAATAATTAAAACAAGGGAGAATAATACGTCAATGAAATAGATAAAAAAAAAAAATTACATACAGATGAAGAGATGCAACTCACACTTGCACTCCCCATGTTTTATTAAAAAAATTTGGGTATCCTACCTTACATTGTTATTTCCCCTTAAAAAATTAATCTTACCTTTACTTTTTGTAAATTGAACTCATGCCACAACACTAGAACGAAGATGGTGCTTGTCATTACACCAGATCACCGCCTATTAAAACTATCTACACCTAACTTAGTCTCTATTAATTAACTTAGACGTAGATAGAAAAACTAGATACAAACTCACCTTATATATATATATATATATTCAAAATTTTGAGGGGGAAAAAATTGGTTTTTGTTTTGGTTGGCACCTCACCAACTTTGATGCGGTGTTAGTAGATGATTGAGCTTGTTTTTCCGTATAAATCTAATTGGAATTGATTAGTTTTGTTTTGATACGTTGTAGAGTCTCTTTGTTTTATTGATGCTCGTGTCAGTATTTTATGTACATTAGTTTTCATAATTAATGTTTCTCTTTTTCACCGATAAAATAATTAAAACAAGGGAGAATAATATGTCAATGAAATCGATTAAAAAAAAATTACACACAGATGAAGAGATGCAACTCACACTTGCACTCCCATGTTTTATAAAAAAAATTTGGGTATCCTACCTTACGTTGTTATTTCCCCTTAAAAAAATTAATCTTACCTTTACTTTTTGGAAAAATACTGAATTTTTGTAAATTGAACTCGTGCCACAACACTAGAACGAAGATGGTGCTTGTCGTTACACCAGATCACCGCCTATTAAAACTATCTACACCTAACTTAGTCTCTATTAATTAATTTAGACGTAGATAGAAAAACTAGATACAAACTCACCTTTACTCATTCTATAAAATGGTCATGTGTTATATGTAAGTAATGTTATTACTAAGACTGATAATTAGAAATATCATAATTGGATCTTTTTTAGTTATGATTAAGAAAAAAATGAGTCACAACTAAACACTACATAAGGTACGTATAACCAAAAACTTTTAAATCATAATCATCACAACGAATTATAACTAACACCATAACAAATCATAATAAAAATCCATAAAACAATAATAACAATAACAAACACACATCGAAAGGTGATCCCATATAACAATAATGCCTTGTATATGATGCATAAATTAGTACACACACAACTGTGTGCATACAAAATATTATGGCCATTATCATGCAATTTGAGTAGCTTATGTTGACAGACATTCAATTAGCTTTGCATTATAAATAGAATAAGCAATTAGTGGACTACATTTATTTATACAGTGTTTGAATTATGAATTTGAATAGAAATTTGTAAAGAAAAAGAGAAATAGAAAAAAAAAATTTAACTTATATTTCATTCATGTTTGTCTCACATTAAATCCCTATCAAAATTTATAATCCAAATACAGTCTTAACACTATTCAAAATGAGAAACTAGAAATTTAAGCGTACCTTTTTTTTGTAAACAATTATACGAGGCCCACTGCTGGGATTGATTGATCTGATTCTGGAAGCACGTGATTTATCCACGAGGTTCAATCATCAAAAGGTATGATCTGATGATTTTATTCCGCTGCATGTTTTGTGTTTTGATTTACACTATATTTGAGAAATGGAAAGCAATTCTTTTCTTGGTTTGATCATTGATGTATGTGGCACAAATGTTTGATGCTTTGCTTCCATGGACTAAAGATGACAAATGTATGTGGCACAAATGTTTGATGCTTTGCTTCCATGGATTAAAGATGACAAAGGATATATACTAGCTTCTTTTTCTCTTTTGCTTTTTCCTATAGATTTTCTTGCCTTGAGAAAAATGATATTCTTTCCTTGATAAGTCAATAAATCTTCACCATCAATTCAACTACAACTTTAAGTTATTAAATAAAGAAATAATTTTATTATTTATATTTTTGATATAATCAAGCTTTTTTTATAAGCGTATTAAATATGTTCAAATTTTTAGTTATTTAATAAATAGCAAGGTTCAAATATAAGATTTATTCTCTTATCTAATAATAATAACAATAATTAATTATATTAAATTGTTAAAAAGAAGAATAGTTTTATTATAAAAAAAATTTACAACTCGGTATATGGTCTACTAAACCGACTAATTCGGGGGACCAGCCTCATCATCCTCCACTAGTGGAGCACCAATTAAAGCGAGTTCGGATTTGCTAAAGTTATATCTCAACTTCATAGGTAAAGTTGCCATCTTGTAGGACTAATTTGTACTCATGTAAATGATCTGAATCGTTATTTCATATGACAAGCCGAGAAAAATATGTATGCAAAAAATTAGTTTAATCAGACATAACTAATTACATGATTAAATCATATATATATATATATATACATATAATAAATAAATGATCTATTCTTAAAAATATATAGACTGTATAGATAAAAATGACCTAATAGATGACAATCATCTATGATGAGCACCTCTTGTCTTCCTTAAGTATCCATTGGATGAGAACACAAAAAATAATCACTAAAACCCAATTCTCAATTAATTACTCTGTCCAAAGATGACCTCTTCCCACTTTTTTTCTTCTTGGTGGAACAAGGCACATGACACAACCAGGATTGGTAATTTAGTCATATAAGACATATATATATATATATATAATACAGTTGCCAAACATTCACGACATGAAGTATATATAAGGGGGAGTGAACAAAGTAGTTTTTGCTAGCTCTATCAAACTAAGTTTTAAACTGATTGGAATAGGAGAGTCAGAGTTGAAAAACAAAATACAGAGTTTCTTTTATAGATCATGATTGCTGCAAAGCAATATTGTACAATACAATAAAGTAAATCACAATGTACAATTTGGATGACTAGTTCATGTTAGAAAAAAATTATGCATTAACATTACCACATCCTAATAGTTTAGTCAACAAAATTTAAAACCAATTAATTTGGCAATTTATTTTCATAAATCTTTATAAATAACATTAAAGATCCAAACACTAATCTTCAACAGCCACATGCTATCAATTACACAAAGTAATGGTAAATTACATATGCAACAATTCCATGCAACAATTCACACTGCTTTCTTAATATTTTTAATATAGTCAGATAATAAGAAGAAGAAAAATTTAACCAAAGATTAAGGTTTTTTTTTATTATTAAACACAAGCGGACAACAGAAAATAATATTAATCCACAGGTAAGCCATTAATCTAAAGAATACCATGTACTGCAAACCTCAAGGTACAAATTTAGAATATGAATTTTAATTTGACAGATAATGAGTTTTATTTTAATCTTTAAAATAAGCTCAACACATTTTATAAAACTATTACTTTTAATAGATATTGTTTTGACAAGACTAAACCCATTAACATCTCAACATATATACAAGAGAGGAAGAAAGACAAACATAGATAATGAATCAACTTATTCTAAGCTCAAGTCATACATTTTCATAACAATAGCGATTTTAAACTTATTATCCTTAAGCTCTCTAATCATGGTGGGAATTCAATTGGTTCTTTCACCATTCTCAATTTTTTTTAAAAAACTAAAAAATCTTAAACAAAATTTCTTTTTAGAACACAACAGCTTTAGATTGTTAGAAAAATATTATGCACTAATATAATTTAATTAATAAAATGATTAAGAGATGTTGTGAGCACTTGGGTTGTATCTTGGAGCCGTTGCACTGCGGTTGTACCCTCACGGTGGGAGGAACAATGGCTTTAGGGCAATGACTACACACGCCTCTCAATCTCATAGGCCAACCCTTTTTTACTCCATATGAATTTACTTACTTTCATATTTTATTTATATAAATCTCTTAATCATTTTATTGATTAAATTATATTGGTGCATAACATTTTTCTAATAGTTGAAAGCAAAACTCAATGTAAACATGACCTTTATTTGAAGAAGCATTCATTCCCAGAAGCAGCATGAACTTCCTGAAGGAGTATTAGAGAAATATTTTAAATCACTTTTTTGTGTTTGAAATAAATCTTTTTTTGGTGGATTCAATATGAGATTTTTTTTCTTTTCTTTCTTTCTTTCAATAATTTAACATACTATAATCATTACATTCTTCTCTCACAAAAAAAGTCAAAAAAGCCAAAAAGCCAAAAAGCCCTTCCCAAACCAAACTTTTTAGCCCAGGCTAAAATAGCCAAAAAAGCCAAAAAGCCAAAAAGCCAACCTACTTCCCAAACCAAGCCTTAGATTGTTAGAAAAATATTATGCACTAATATAATTTAATTAATAAAATGATTAAGAGATGTTGTGAGCACTTGGGTTGTATCTTGGAGCCGTTGCACTGCGGTTGTACCCTCACGGTGGGAGGAACAATGGCTTTAGGGCAATGACTACACACGCCTCTCAATCTCATAGGCCAACCCTTTTTTACTCCATATGAATTTACTTACTTTCATATTTTATTTATATAAATCTCTTAATCATTTTATTGATTAAATTATATTGGTGCATAACATTTTTCTAATAGTTGAAAGCAAAACTCAATGTAAACATGACCTTTATTTGAAGAAGCATTCATTCCCAGAAGCAGCATGAACTTCCTGAAGGAGTATTAGAGAAATATTTTAAATCACTTTTTTGTGTTTGAAATAAATCTTTTTTTGGTGGATTCAATATGAGATTTTTTTTCTTTTCTTTCTTTCTTTCAATAATTTAACATATGGGACAGTATATACAGAAACGGAGAATCTTATATCTTGAAACCTTTACTTGGGAAGGAATGGCTACTAAGAATTTCAATAAATGAATTATGGCATTATAACCATCCGTTGACTATATAACTTTGGTTCCTACAAACTAAATTTCCACAGATGACGCCAAGTTGTACAAAGTAAAATCAGTGGCATATCCCGCAAACTGAATTTCTATGGATTTCTTGAAAATCTTATATCTTTAGTCCACTACAAACAAAATTTGGGGCCAAGTCATACAAAGTAAAATTAGTAGCATATCCAAAGTGTAGCAGATGAATAGAATTATCAAAAAAAAAAATATTCAGCAAGCTGCTGATTGATACGAGTGGAAATAGTACTAATTTCAGTGTACAAATGGGCTTTCTTGAAGATTATGTTGGATATATCTGCACTAGTGAGGACAACCATTTATCTCATAAGCATTGAATTTCCAACAGCAGATTGGTATCAAATATTCACAAAAAAAAAAAAAAACAAAAAAAAAGGATAACAAAGTTTGTAATCAAAACAAATCATAGCTTATGGGCAAAATTACAAAAAACTTCGACATATAATGTTAAATACAGTGCCTAAATGACATACACTTATGCCCTACTTCTCTCATCAGCAAACCATTGTCATTAACTGACGACAAACAGATAAAATTGGGGCACGACTCACAAGAAAAGACTCTTTTTGTTTTTGTGTTTTTTGTTTTTTTATCAAAAACAAGAAAAGACTTTGACTTAGACTCTATTAGCTTTAGGCTCATGAAATTTCGGACTCATCAGTGAGCTAGAAGGTCAATGGACTTGATTGAATCGAGGGCTCTAACCCAGTTCAGTGCAATAACTACATGGGGAGTACTTGGCCAGATGTGTGGTTTAGATTTGAGGGAAAGAATATTGTCAGTACATGATAAAGATGAAAAGTCTCATATCAAGAAGGGAAAACAAAAAGGAAGAGCTTTAGTATTACGTTGGATGAACTCACCACTTATACAAGTTTAAGCTTTTAGGTTGGTATGTGTTTCAAACAATACATGTTGAGAATCTAAGTTTGACACAAGTGGACTCCTTGGATTCCTTAACATAAACTCGCTTCCAATGAATCACAAGCTCCTCTTAACAAATTTAAGCAACAATTTATTGTTGTACAATGAATTATTACTAGTCAATCACGTGTCAATAAATAACAAATTGCAAAATATTTTTTACCACAGATACAAAGAAGCATGAAAACAAACATAGAATACTGTTAATTGAGATAAAAGAATTTTGGATACAAGCTCCATTACAATGTAGAGAAAGCAAAATTACACGCATTGGGTACTTTTTCCCCCTTTATTTACTCTTCAAATCTTTAGCACACATTAGGCAAACATACCTTTAATTAGAGTAATCATTTTTGAAAAATCTAGAAATCCCCTAAATATTGATTTGTGATTATGTAACAATTTTAAGCAGTATATAACAATCCCAATCAAACAATCAAGACAAATCAATACAACGATTTTAACGTGGAAAAACCACAATTGGACACCTCCAACTGTGATTAAAAAACCGCGGGCAACAGCCACAAAACAATCCACTAAGAAGATTTAAAGGAATTACACAAGTATACTCTCAATTACCTAGCGAATCCACGCCTAATTGAACCAACCTTTATGTGCCTCTTCCAACCCCGTCTTCACCTCGGAATTGTCTTTACGATGAGCCACTCCGGAATCCACCAAAGCTTCAGGCTCGAATTCTTCAGAATCCACCGAAGAACAACTCTCTCTCTCT